TGGACAAACCTCATGTACACAGCGTTAAGGTCGACATAGTATATCTTTTCATCTGAGTCGAACTTGTCGCAACCAATTGGTCCAGTTTGTGGAAATTCAAGTGAGTCTCTTATCTTCTGAGAAACTTCTCCTGTTATCTCATAAACATCGTCGAAGCAACCTGTTTCATATAAAACCTTCTGACCTAACTCAGATGCTCTCCAATACAATTTGACGTCAATTGGATGTCTCAATGGAAGTTTGTTTATAGCATCTTGAAGTTCTTGCAACCTCATTGGAAGTTCTTCTGGTTCAGGTTGGTATCCGAACATACCAACCCCTTGTGGAACTGTGTACTTCTTTTGTACTAGAACTTTGTCTGGAACAACTTTTGGTCTTGCTAACAATGAAAAGTTTGTTTCGTCTTTTGATATAAAACTTTCTGTAAGCTTGTCATCTGGAATTGGTTCCAACAAACCTTTCTCGAAAAGAATGTTTACAGCTCTGACAATGTTGCACTTACTTTTACCAAAGAATGGGTTTGTAAGACTTTCGTTCAACATGAAGTGGTTGTGGACAATTACAATCTTCAACCATGGTAAGTCTTTGTCAACAACATAGTCGTCATGTGAAGAACCTTTAGCTGTAGGTATGTTGACTCGGATATTGACATTTGCCAACGGTGCAATTTTTGCCAATTGACCTCTGAGAATGTACCTTGTCTTCACACATGACTCAAGATACTTCATCTTCTCATCTGTAACAAGACCAGAGTTCCTGAGACATGTAAGAATACAAGGTTCATTGACAATTGTTTCAATTGAATTGTAAATTCCATACCTTGTCAAGTCAATGTCAGACTTATTTATGAACGGGAAGTATCCAGCATGTTGTCTGACTGCTTGAGGGTTAGGTTGGTACCATTTGAACTTGACACTTGCAATTCCTTCAATTGCATTCAAAATGTCTGAGTCGGAGTCAACCATTTGTTCTCTCTTTGTAGTCTTGAAAGCGTCAAGAAGTTTTGCGGCTGTTTGTTCATTGCCATGTGCATAGTAAATGTGACCATCCAAATCTGTTATGGTCAATCTGAGATTGTGTCCTTTCTTATTTCCGTCTTGAATTGCAGCAAGTACTCCCATGAAGCCTTCTTTGTTCTTTCCTTCGTCAAAGTTTACTGTAAAGGTTCGACCAGATGTAATTTGACTTCTAACTTCACGATACTTTTCATATGCATATCTTGTTCTTTCCATGGGAGCATGTGCGTCTTCACCTTTTCCTTTTTCCTTCTCAAAGGATGCAATTGTTCGTCATGTTTCCAGTAGAATCTGGCAAAGCCGTCGTGTCCTTCAACTTGAGGTTCACTAACATCGAAAGGCATGTCCATAAGACGTTCTTCTTCTAACCTCTCTAGTCTGTTTGGATAATTGGCACGTGCTGTTTCCAAATCCATTTCGTAGCGAAGACCAGACAATTTGTCATAGACTTTTATGGGTCTTCCCTTCCTATATTTAAAATTCTTCGAAACTCTCCAACCATATCTTTGCAACTCTGCTTTTATTCTAGCAGACTTTCTGTCCATTCTATATGGGGGCATTTTTATAAAAATAAAAAAATATTTTTTTTCTTTACTTTACATAACCGCCTGCTGCCATAAGTCTTTGACGCCAACCCATACCAGCTAATGAAGGTTGACTTGGTTTAGTTTGGAAACTAAACTTTGGTTTTGGTTTATCTTCAGTTTTTGGTTTTTCTTCTTCTATCGGTTTTTCGTCACTTTTCGGTTCCTCTGACTTTACTTCACTTGCAGGAACAGTTGTGTCGTCAACATCTTCATAAATATCATATGCCATTTGTTTTTGTTTTCCTTTCAACTTTTTGTGTTTGTTGTAAAGTTTAGAATATTTCGACTCTAAGTCAATGAGATGTTCTATAATGAACTGTTGGTCAGTGAAGTAAACTTTTCCATCTGTTGTCTCGAAAGCTCCTTCAGACTTCAATATTTTATTTGTGAGAGCCTGTTTCTTTTTTGAGATACTAGCCGTTCCATTTCTATGAAAAGTGACTTTATAGTTAGGGTTTGTATTTCCAGACCTGGCACTTTCTATTATTGAATTTTTCTCTTCATCTGTAAGTTCTTTGACAGGTTTTGACAATGGTTCTGAACTTTTTGTTTGTGGTGTCAAATCTACCGTTTCAACTTCTTCGGTCATTTCATCTCAGTAAAAAATTTTAGTTTGGTTTGTTTTCAACTGGTTGTTGTTGTGGAGGTGGGATGGTTCCTTTAATAATATCATTCAGTTTCACATGCTGAGCCTGACTATATGGTATCGGTTTAAATGCTGGAAGCCGACAAATCCATCTTGAACTCATTTGTCTCAATGCTGCATTGTTCATTTCATCTCAATAAAAAACTTTACATTCCCCACGTTTGAGGCGGTTGAGGTTGGTTATTGTTTACCCACTGTTGTGCATGGTTATATCCTCTGTTAAAGAATCTTTCACCTTGGTCCATGTAGTGCCCTGCTTGGTTATAGTAGTCATTTGCTTTGTTATAATAGTTTCCTGCTTGTCTTCCTACATTGTCCATCCATCCTTGAACTTTTCCTCTTGTTTCAGGATTTGGAATAAGATTTGTTGCATCTCGTGCTACATCCCAACCTTTCTGTACAGTTTGTATAATAGGTTGTGCTTTCTCTTTAAGTATACCTAATGTACTCAAAATCTTCCTTCCTATTTTCAAAATAGGTTTTAATAAGAAAAATAGACAATTTATGAAGTAACAAAGCACATAGTATTATAAAAAAGAAAAACATTTTTCTCATATGAAAGAAAATATAACGTATTTTTTACAGAGCGTAGGTATATATCGAGCCAATTCACACCATAAATTCTTTTCTCGTTCTCGGGCCTATAAACAACCTGAGGTGCACAACAATATTAACTTATACTGCTGTTATCTGGATTTGAATCCTCAATTGAGAGAATTCCAGATAACTTCAGTATAAACAAACCATATACATGTTTCCTCCTTGCTTCTAGGCCAAGCATAACAAGTACATTACCTTAGAGCAAATCTCATTCGGAGTTTCTCATTTAATGAGAGACTCTGAATGAGATTTGCCTATTTGATTAATATTGTGCTTTATGAGAAGCAAATTCTGATGATAAATATTGATCTAGAGCTTATATAAGATGCGAAGAAACTTCAAAAAAAGCTAACCGGTAAAGACAGCAACTTGCAACACCAAGTTGCTCACGTAGTGATTACAAGCATATCTGCAAGGCAAAGTCCTCAGGATGCAGAACTTTGCCTGCAATCAGAAAAGAGATTGCTCCAAGGTTAACTATAGTTTGATATCGTAAAATTCACTTCAAAATGACGTTAACACATTTAAATTTATACGTTTAAATTCTATAGTTTATTTATAACTTCATTTTTCTTTATTGCTCTACGAGCTATTCTCATTGCATGATGTGTTAGTGTGCCGGCCCTAACATGGAAGCTGTGAGATATTGTGTTCAGAGAATGGAAGCAAATAATCTATTTAGAAGATGAAATAACAACAATGATATGAGTGAAAATGAAATTATTAATGTCGATTGCATCATCCTTAGATTGATAACAATACAAACTGCTGCATTTCTCCAGATTCCACGCATTGTCAGATTTTCAAGAGATTCTTTAGTCAAATCATAAGCCAGTCATACAAAACCTAGAAGTTAGCATCATCCTTAGATTGATAACAATACAAACTGCTGCATTTCTCCAGATTCCACGCATTGTCAGATTTTCAAGAGATTCTTTAGTCAAATCATAAGCCAGTCATACAAAACCTAGAAGTTAGCATCATCCTTAGATTGATAACAATACAAACTGCTGCATTTCTCCAGATTCCACGCATTGTCAGATTTTCAAGAGATTCTTTAGTCAAATCATAAGCCAGTCATACAAAACCTAGAAGTTAGCATCATCCTTAGATTGATAACAATACAAACCCCTTTACTTATATTTTTTTAAAAAAAAACTAAAAACGATATATTCCTCTCATATCCTTTTTGAAAATTGGTACCTAACAAACCTCGAACTCATGGCCCAACAAAAAAATGGATGAAGAACCAGATATACCCAATCTGGAATCCATTCCGCAACACATTGCAGAGAAACTCCTGCAACTAGGCAAACTTGTTCCAAGGCAAAAGTTAAATGCAGTAAATTTGTCAGACACTCAAGTATCTCTCCTAACGAGCCTCATTGAAGACAGCTTGGATCCAGCTAACAAAGGTCTCATAGAAATTCTCGCCAAGAGTACAAACGTTTGTCCTGCCACCTTATATAATTACCGTAAAAAATACGAACTTGACCCAGAATTTAACCCAAAGACGGCTGCATCTTTGATCAATCGTGCTATCAGTGATCACGGTGAAGAATTGTTAGCCAATTACATCATCAAAGAATTCATCGAAAAAAAATTCTTCTTTAACACCCAAATGTGCAGAGTGCTTGTCAAGATGTTCATAAAGGCTTACCCTAACGAGATTCTCAGAAACGATTTTGTTGTTTCTGACCATTACCTTTCGAATTTCCGAGAGAGATGCGACCTGACCACTCGTGAAGCACATTGGCATCGTCGGCCAAAAGACATCGAAGAGATGAAGACTCGTATCGAAAGCTTTAAACAGACCAAAGCTCAACTTATGGAACTCTTCAAGGATGAATTGTGGAGAATCTGCAACGCAGATGAATCCTTTTACGGATGTGGAATCGCTCATGGACTGACATATGCAATAAAAGGCTCGGAAGGTGTTGACGTCCACATGAATCATAACGAGAAGAAAGGAATCACTATTATTGCCACAATCCAGGCAGACGGCAGTAAACTTCCACTCACATTTGTCTGCAAGGGTCTCACAGATGCATGCCATAAGCAGATTTACGACAACAGAGTCTTTTCCAATGAGTTGATTTTGCATTCCGAAACAGGTTGGGCCACAAAGGAGATATTTCAAGAATATCTCAGATGGCTTAGAAAGTATTACAACGATCGTTATCGCGAGAATCCAAGTTACATTCAAAATGATAGAATCTACTTGTTTCTTGATACATATTCTAGCCACAGAAATGCAGAAACAAAGAAGCTTGCTAAAGACTTGAACATCACACTCGTCTTCATTCCAGTTGGATGCACCGATCTGTGCCAACCTCTTGACATGCATGTCTTTGGCGCCTTAAAGAATATGGCAACGAGAACATGGTGGACTTACTATTCTATCGACACTTCCCTCGAGTGCACGCTGAAGTTGGCAGTGTATATTTTAATACGTTGCTGGAATGCGCTGACTCCTGAGCTCATTGAGACTGCATTCAGTATGCACATCAAAGATCTTGAAGAAAATGAAAGCATCCAACCACGTATCTCTGACGAGAGGCCTCAGACTTCATTGAACGGATTGACGAAGTGAAGGCTCAATTCACAGTAGGCGAGCTTCTTGGCCAAAACGCAGAAGAGGAAGACGCCCCTGATTTTGACCTCCTTCAAGAGTTCAGTGAGATCAATGAACGACGCCATAGGAGACAGGAAAATACCCAGATTGAAGAAATAGTTTCAGATGATGAAGACTGGGATGGAAGTGATGATGAAGAAGATCTTGAAGGATTCACTCCAGAAGAAGAAAGAGAAATCCTTGAATATGATCTAGATCCATCAGAAATTGAAAGCGCAGTAGAACCTGAACCAAATTATAATCCTCCTTCTCCAGCTGAAATGTTTTCGCCTCTTCCAATAGTTGATGTCCATTTTGAACCCACAGATCAATTGATACACTGCCTTGCATCAAGAAGCGGAGCATCTTTTATGGACTCTGTGGAATATGCTCCGCGATTTGATGTTTTGTTAACCAATCAGCTTCATTACTCAGAAATATTTAACGAGATCAGACGTCACAATCATTATGCCACAGAGAGGGTAAATTCACAAATCATCAGGCTCGATGATTCTCGAAGCGCCTTAAATGCCGCCATGCAATTGTTCTTGACTATCATTATCCTTGAAAATATTCGAATCGAAGAAGATAATGGTGCAAGAGCTTTAGATTTGTTTCAGGTTGGAGAAGAAGATTCCAAACAAGAAGATCTTCTCCATATCCTACAAATATTAGAACGTATGGGAAGATCTACTTCGATTTCACCAGGAAAAACATATAATATGTTTCATTTTGAACAACAAGGCGATCCACGACTCATTATTTCATCTTTTATGAACCCACATTTATGCGGGATTCAATTCATTGATGAGAATAATCAAGCTCAATGTGTTAACATGTTAAAACTTCCTGAAGATGGAAATTTCAAAGAATATTTCGAGAATAAGAAGATTACTCATGTGAATAGATACCTCTTCATTGCAAATGACTGCGAATCTCAAGAAGCTCAGCCAGACCAAATTGAACTGCTTCATGAACATTCACATATCATATTTATCAGATTTGCCATTGTTTCACTTACACTCGGAAGAGATGGTCATGCCTCTTTTAAATTTTATAAGAGACTTGATTTACAAGGCGAATATGTTGTGATCGATGAAAATTGGTGTTATGTGATCCCAAGAGGAGGAGCAATCGGATATCAATTTTTATCATTGTATGTCAGAGGTAAGGATGTTGAAATTGAAAATTAATTCATAATTTCTATTTATTTATATATTATGTTTTTTATTTGTAAGCTGTAAATAATGATTTGTTATAAGAAGATGGTCTTTTTCACCAAGAAAAATTTTGTGTGTAAAAAATTTTTATCGTCTGACAAGTTTCTCTGTGAAATATGAAAATTTAATGTGTGATTACATTAGGAAAATATTTATAGAAATAAATATAAGAAATTAGAGAAAAAAATTTAAAAAGTAAAAAAATGAAGAAAATAACTGGAATACGAAGAATTTAGGGAGGATAGAGTGCATTATTGTTCTAAGCATGTCATTCCTGGAGATATTGCCTGTGCATGTCTCCCAGAATGGCATACCGTTCCGCATTCATAACTTGAATGCGGAACTTTGACCGACAAGAGTGCATTGTGCACTCTTGTTGGTCTGCATGTGTCATTCCGGGAGACATTGCCTGTGCATGTCTCCCAGAATGGCATACTGTTCCGCATTCATAACTTGAATGCGGAACTTTGACCGACAAGAGTGCATTGTGCACTCTTGTTGGTCTGCATGTGTCATTCCGGGAGACATTGCCTGTGCATGTCTCCCAGAATGGCATACTGTTCCGCATTCATAACTTGAATGCGGAACTTTGACCGACAAGAGTGCATTGTGCACTCTTGTTGGTCTGCATGTGTCATTCCGGGAGACATTGCCTGTGCATGTCTCCCAGAATGGCATACTGTTCCGCATTCATAACTTGAATGCGGAACTTTGACCGACAAGAGTGCATTGTGCACTCTTGTTGGTCTGCATGTGTCATTCCGGGAGACATTGCCTGTGCATGTCTCCCAGAATGGCATACTGTTCCGCATTCATAACTTGAATGCGGAACTTTGACCGACAAGAGTGCATTGTGCACTCTTGTTGGTCTGCATGTGTCATTCCGGGAGACATTGCCTGTGCATGTCTCCCAGAATGGCATACTGTTCCGCATTCATAACTTGAATGCGGAACTTTGACCGACAAGAGTGCATTGTGCACTCTTGTTGGTCTGCATGTGTCATTCCGGGAGACATTGCCTGTGCATGTCTCCCAGAATGGCATACTGTTCCGCATTCATAACTTGAATGCGGAACTTTGACCGACAAGAGTGCATTGTGCACTCTTGTTGGTCTGCATGTGTCATTCCGGGAGATATTGCCTGTGCATGTCTCCCAGAATGGCATACTGTTCCGCATTCATAACTTGAATGCGGAACTTTGACCGACAAGAGTGCATTGTGCACTCTTGTTGGTCTGCATGTGTCATTCCGGGAGACATTGCCTGTGCATGTCTCCCAGAATGGCATATGTGCATCATAACGAATGCAACTTTGACCGACAAGAGTGCATTGTGCACTCTTGTTTGTCATCCACTATGATACTTAGAGAAAATACTTTACTTACATTATTTAAAATATTAATTTCCCTATTTAATATTTATTTATTATTTTTTGTGCTTTATATTCCCTATGGCATGTACTGAACTATTTTATAGACTCTACCGAGCTATCTCCACATATAAACATTTGACAATAACACATATATACTCTCTTCATATTCTAGTCTCATGACATATTATTGCAAAAGCTATATTTATACAGCATACCTCATAAAGTCTCATTTTAGCCATATCTAAGCGTTCAAAACCTATTTTCCACACGTAATCTGATTCTTCTGGCTCCGCTGATTCGATTTCTGCTGTCAGATCGTGAAAATATGAATCACATAAAGAGATAAACACAAGTTACCCAACTTGATATTTTCCGTAAAAAAAACTCTTTAAGTTCATGTTCAATTTTTTCCAAAAGTGTGTGAATTCAAAAAGTCACAATATATCTAGTTATTACCCAGTATTAATTTTTTAATTTAGTTTTTGAGATATTCATTTTATAATACGTATTATTCAGAAAATTAAATACATTTGTAAGGGAAAACGGAATTAATAACAAATATATGAATATCGTGGAAGAGTCAATTTGAAGAAAACATTATTATTTTGGATTTGTGTTTATCTCTTTATGTGATTCATATTTTCACGATCTGACAGCAGAAATCGAATCAGCGGAGCCAGAAGAATCAGATTACGTGTGGAAAATAGGTTTTGAACGCTTAGATATGGCTAAAATGAGACTTTATGAGGTATGCTGTATAAATATAGCTTTTGCAATAATATGTCATGAGACTAGAATATGAAGAGAGTATATATGTGTTATTGTCAAATGTTTATATGTGGAGATAGCTCGGTAGAGTCTATAAAATAGTTCAGTACATGCCATAGGGAATATAAAGCACAAAAAATAATAAATAAATATTAAATAGGGAAATTAATATTTTAAATAATGTAAGTAAAGTATTTTCTCTAAGTATCATAGTGGATGACAAACAAGAGTGCACAATGCACTCTTGTCGGTCAAAGTTCCGCATTCAAGTTATGAATGCAAAAGTATTGCCATTCTGGGAGACATGCACAGGCAATGTCTCCCGGAATGACACATGCAGACCAACAAGAGTGCACAATGCACTCTTGTCGGTCAAAGTTCCGCATTCAAGTTATGAATGCGGAACAGTATGCCATTCTGGGAGACATGCACAGGCAATGTCTCCCGGAATGACACATGCAGACCAACAAGAGTGCACAATGCACTCTTGTCGGTCAAAGTTCCGCATTCAAGTTATGAATGCGGAACAGTATGCCATTCTGGGAGACATGCACAGGCAATGTCTCCCGGAATGACACATGCAGACCAACAAGAGTGCACAATGCACTCTTGTCGGTCAAAGTTCCGCATTCAAGTTATGAATGCGGAACAGTATGCCATTCTGGGAGACATGCACAGGCAATATCTCCCGGAATGACACATGCAGACCAACAAGAGTGCACAATGCACTCTTGTCGGTCAAAGTTCCGCATTCAAGTTATGAATGCGGAACAGTATGCCATTCTGGGAGACATGCACAGGCAATGTCTCCCGAATGACACATGCAGACCAACAAGAGTGAACAATCCGCTTTCTCCTTTGAAATCCAACATTCTAATCACATCTACATTAATAAATTGTTATAAAATACTAATCAAAGATCCAATACAATTCTACTATCTTATACACATTACCAATGTTAACACCTCTTATAACTTAAATTATTTCATAAAATTTGTTTTTATATCTTATTATTTTCTCATAATGCTTCTAATACATCTCTAATTTCTTACATTCAAACACCAATATCGTCATACTATCATAAGCACTTAATTTTTTCAAATTTTAGACTTAAATTTGAGCTACATTTTCATCATCATTTTTAGCCTTAAGCTTCTATAAGGTTATAATACATTATCGTAATATTCTAATATTTATGATTCTTACTACTCAATTCAATATAATCATATAAGTCACTCATAATCAGGAGCATAATTTAAAAATCTATAGCTCATATTTTGACAATTATATATATAGATGATGCATATTGCAATTCCGGTTTCAACACGATCAAATGTCAAACCATGATAAAATATATATCAATTTACAAAATATCGATTAACATTAGAATCCATATCTAATTCCATCAATGCACAAGTTGTAAATGCTTAATTCATCTTTGAGAAACGTGAATAGCACAATTTTATAAGATTATTTGTTGAATATTTAAAATATAAGCCAAATCGAATCTGCTGTATATTACTTTAGTTTATAATTGAATGTTAAATGTGCTCAGATAAATATTTGAGTCAGATATCGCATTTTCAATTTCAAATTTATCTCATGAAGTTAGAATTTATTTGATCATACAACATCATATTAGTCAAACTAGAGTTCAATCGCGATTCCAAAATGGAACAATTGCTTGTTTTATCAAAATGTTAAAATATTAATCTAAAAAACTTAATATCTAACCAAAACATTCTAGAAATATTATATACAGGTATATGCAATCTAAATGCACACGAAATTCTGAAAATTAAAAAGAATATTTATGAGATTATTAAATCTTATGCATTTCAATGAAGAGTCGATAATTATCATCTCTATAGGTTATATATCAACATATGAGTTTTTGGATTGACCACTACTATACTAATGTGATCAAATTAATCTGATTTCTTGAATTTTCATTTGAAGCATTCGCAGTAGTAGGAGTACCTTCATATATTAACATATTAAAAAATTGCGCCCAGATTCGCAGTTTAATCATGATTTTAAGATTGCATTAGATTTCGAAATGCAGAAAAAAATCACTTTAGATTCCCTTCAAACTCTAAGCATAAGCATGTCTCTATATGAGAAAACTATTTGAGCTATTCATTTGGCGGCCCAAAAACTCATGTTGCCTGAGCGCAGAAAATACCAATTTTTGGACCCTGGGTAGGGGGTCATGCATGTTTTCTAAATGTTGGAAAAGTAGGGTATATTTACTACAAATTGGAAACATTGCAAGCTCTTTTGAGCTTAACTTGACCCTTCAGAATGTCAATATTGCTATTTTATCATGAATTCATCTTCTGATTACTTTTTTTTATCAGAATTTTTCCATAAACATCATGATAAAATACACTCAAATAGACAACTTGCAAAAGAAATTGATGTCTGGGAAGAATTCTATGAAGATGTGTTCAAAGGTGAGAAGAAAAGATGCCAAAATTGTGAGAAAGAAACCGGATTATCACAATACTACTTAGAAGAATGTCTATTTTTGGATGACAAAGATAAAATAATTAAAATTGAAGCTTCTTCTTCCAAACTTCTCCATAATTCCTGTAGTTTCCACAAATGTTATTCAAAAGGAAATGGAGGTAGTATATCCATCAATAATCAAGAGTGCTCTGTAGTCCAAAGAAGATTTTGTGCTATTGATTCTTTTTCAGATTCAATCAATAATAAGTATTGCTTGGGTTTATTTTCGTTTGTAAAAGTTGGAGAAAAATGCCTGAATTATATCTCTGAGAGTACTTTGTTAGGATGCGGAAGGCCAGGAACTCTGACAGTCGGATTAACTCATCAAGAAGATGGCAACATTTCTCTATCAAATACAAATTTTACTTTGTGTAAAGCATGTCTTGTAGCAACAAGTTATGGAATTAGTCGAACATCTCCATTTAAATTTGAGTACTCGACATACTTCAACAACATTACAGATAATGAATCAATAATAATATGTACATGGTCTGATTCTGCACTGGACCATTTGAATATCATAACATAATAATAACATTTGAGTATTATTAATAATAAAGTCCCAAATGATAATGTTCCTTTATTCACTAATGCAGATATAATAATAGTCAATAACTGCTATATTGACAATAGTATTCCTTTAATATGTTATGATACACTAGAAATCTCTAATCCAAAGGAATGCTTTACGAATGATTTAACATATCTATCCCTGAGTAGTTGTGAAGCGGAAAATTATATTATTGATGTTAACACAAGTGTCTCCATGTCGTATGGCATCCCTATTATAATAATATCAATAACAAATGTATTATTTGCAAAAAAATAAAAAGAAATTTAAATATCAAATCATCATTCACAATTGTACCTGAGCGAGTCTATATCTACTGTATTGTATGTTCATAAATTTTCTTTTTCGATTCTGATTCAAAAAGAAATTTGTAAAATTATTTTGAATTAACCATAAAATATCAATTATTTATTGAGAATAACAATATATTTTTAAAGTTCCAAGTTTTCCTCCGCAAATTTCAATTTTCTTGGTACTTTGACATTTAATTTCGCTTCAGTAACAATTAATCTGAACAACTTCATTGCGTTGCTTTCATTTGGAAGGATCATACCTTTACCACGCTTCTTCAATATCAAAGTTGGCTTATCTTTTGGAACATCTAACGGGATATCATTCTTTTCAGCATTAATATAATAGAACATAAATCTAGAGTATTTCTGTTGGTTGAATTCATAGGCAATGGCCTGTAATTCTTGAAGTAAATCTATTGAAGTTTTATCTGTTGCTGAAGGAGCAATGAGAGTTACAGAATCCTTAGGAGATCCATAAACAGCTCGGAAGTTTGATCCAACGAGCTTCTTAAGGTTAGGAAGATCATCTTCATCTTCTTCTGGGATTTCTTCGGACTTTACAGGGATAATTGGGAAGGAATTAATTACTTGGTCAAGAAGCTGGTCCAAGATTGCCGGAGTAATCTCTGTTCCTTCTGGAAAAAATAATTTCTCACTTACATCTCCATTTTCTGTAAAGTTTGCTACAACCCAGATAGGTTCTTTGGTTCCTGCTGTGCCCATCTCGTTCAGGAGTTGCGTAAACTGGCGGTATGGTCCGTATGCGTATGTGAAATTATCTTTGAACTTGTCGTAGATCTGTCTCATGCCCCAGTGTACTTGTTTGAGGGAGTGCTTCTTGTTTACGTCGCAGAAACAGAAGACTGTCATTCGAGAATCGTGAATTACGTCACGGAAAAGGGTTCCTTCTGTAAGTCTGTATAATGGATAAGCGTTATCGCGGATGAACTTCTCAAGCTCATCTGTTTTGTCAATTTCGCTAATTGGATATTGAACAATTACATCATCGATTGATCTTCTGATTAAAATTGCATTTGTAAGCGAGGTATCTTGATCCTGCTGAAGGCCAAATTGATATGCTGCCTCTGTAGATGTTGAACGCACGAATGGAATAATATCAATGAATTTTTCAGCCAAATCTTGAAAAACTTCAATTACATCATCTGAAGTATCTTCATCACTTGTCAATATAGCAGCAATCGGGTTGTATTGAAGGAATTTGTATGCGCGATCTTGAGAATCGATTTCAACAACGAGTGGTTTGTTTGTAATTCTTGTTAAGTACTTTCTAAGGTCTGTTGAATTCCTTTCTCCTGTGTATTCCGTCATAAATTGGCCATTGCGGAATACGTAGAAAGAAGGGAAAAATTGAATATTGTAAAGATCAAGCGTATGTGGCGCGTTATTGCCATCAAGATAGAAAAAGTCGCATTTATTGCCAGAATGGAATGTTTCGGCAGCAGCACGAAAGTGTGGCATCAATCTTTCCACTTCTGTATTATTTTCATCAATTGCCATGACTAAAGCAAGTTTAGATTTGTTGATCTTGGTTTCAAAATTCTCGTCATTGAGTGTAGGCGGTAAATAAATCTCACTTCTAACTAAAGAGAATAAAATCGGAAGCATTTGTGTCACTTTTGTATTTGGTTGAATTCGTCACTTTTTGGAATTCTCTTCTTCAAAATAGCTTCGCACCATAAAAATATTACATTGTTATATTCAGTACATTATTTCAATCATTTCTGTCTAGATTTCGTTTTGAAAATGATCAATGACAAGTTTTTCATGCCTGTTAACTAAGGACTGCCCACACGAGTGAATTGTCCGCGACATCTCCATGGCTCTTGGTCTGATGTGATACTGCAAAAACGCCAGGCAAACATTGATTAACAGCCGAAATTCTGTTTTACATGAAGGTTCCGCTTGGGTTCCTGTCTTTGGATATGTCGGAAGAGGAGATAACAAGGCAGCAAGAAAATCCTTCACATTGCAGTTTGTGATACAAGTGATAATGTCCGCCTAGTTGCATACATTGCAGCTCCATATATAATTTTATTGCATAATGCAATATGTGTTGATGCAAAACTCAAATACAACTTTTTTATACTAAATTGCTCAAATAAGATGAATTATAATAAAAAATCCTTTCCGTAAAGGTATTAAATTAGCAATATTTTTAATCAAAAACGTATGTGCAATCGTATCCAGCATCTAATATGCACGCTTAATTGTTTATCTCTGTATTTCAGACTAATTTTTGTTAGATTTGAGTATGCTTCTATATATATAGATATGGTGATATACATGCGGAATTTCAAGAAAATTTGATTCACAGCTTTTGAGAATTGATTTTTTGGCATATAATATACTTTCTGAATATGACTAAATGATTGTCTGCGTCTTCCATCAGAAGCGAATTCAATTTTAATTTCGAAATATCTCCGTGCTTATTGAAAGAGATATGATAATACATATAGTTGTCTTTCAGCAGATAATCACTTAGAGCTGTTTTAAAGGCCTTAGCTTTTTTTATTTTTTAAATTTAACGTTAAAAAGTGTCTGTACCCATGATATTTGCACCATGTGATTTAAGAGTAAAGAATGTTTCTTTACTATTACGTAATGCTGCATAATGAAGAGCGGTTCTTCCTTCTTCATCTTTTTCATTGATACTTGCACCATTTGAAATAAGCAGTTCGTTGTATCTTTATTATTAATTTGCTGCAAGATGAAGAGCGGTTCTTCCTTCTTCATCTTTTTCATTGATACTTGCACCATTTGAAATAAGCAGTTTGTGTATCTTTATATTTACTTGCTGCATAGATGAAGAGCGGTTCTTCCTTTTCCTTCTTTTTCATTGATATTGAACCATTTGAAATAAGCAGTTCTGTGTATCTTTACTATTTACTGCTGCATAATGAAGAGCGGTTCTTCCTTTTCATTCTTTTTCATTGATACTTGCACCATTTGAAATAAGCAGTTCTGTTGTATCTTTACTATTAATACTTGCTGCAAGATGAAGAGCGGTTCTTCCTTCTTCATCTTTTTCATTGATACTTGCACCATTTGAAATAAGCAGTTCTGTTGTATCTTTATTATTAATACTTGCTGCAAGATGAAGAGCGGTTCTTCCTTTTCATCTTTTTCATTGATACTTGCACCATTTGAAATAAGCAGTTCTGTTGTATCTTTATTTATTAATACTTGCTGCAAGATGAAGAGCGGTTCTTCCTTCTTCATCTTTTTCATTGATACTTGCACCATTTGAAATAAGCAGTTCTGTTGTATCTTTATTATTAATACTTGCTGCAAGATGAAGAGCGGTTCTTCCTTCTTCATCTTTTTCATTGATACTTGCACCATTTGAAATAAGCAGTTCTGTTGTATCTTTATTATTAATACTTGCTGCAAGATGAAGAGCGTTCTTCTTCTTCATCTTTTTCATTGATACTTGCACCATTTGAAATAAGCAGTTCTGTTGTATCTTTACTATTAATACTTGCTGCAAGATGAAGAGCGGTTCTTCCTTCTTCATCTTTTTCATTGATACTTGCACCATTTGAAATAAGCAGTTCTGTTGTATCTTTTATTAATACTTGCTGCAAGATGAAGAGCGGTTCTTCCTTCTTCATCTTTTTCATTGATACTTGCACCATTTGAAATAAGCAGTTCTGTTGTATCTTTACTATTAATACTTGCTGCAAGATGAAGAGCGGTTCTTCCTTCTTCATCTTTTTCATTGATACTTGCACCATTTGAAATAAGCAGTTCTGTTGTATCTTTATTATTAATACTTGCTGCAAGATGAAGAGCGGTTCTTCCTTCTTCATCTTTTTCATTGATACTTGCACCATTTGAAATAAGGAGTTCGGTTATTTCTTTACTATTATTAATTGCTGCATAGGGTTGTTAAAAATATCAAAAATTAGCGTTTTGAAGACACCATTGTGTCTTATAATTTTCCCTTCCTTATTGGCGTGTAGAAATAAATGCGCCAATAGATTGAAGAAGAATTGTTTTTCTCTTAATGAACTTTAAACCTTTTGATATAAGAATATTAAAAACATTAATATAATTTCGATTTCGGAAATTAAATTTCCAAATTTTTTGTCGATTTCGGAAATAACAGGATCCAGTAGGGCTGTACAAGATTTAAAAAAACATTGCCGGGTTACCGTAGAGGCCTAAAAAAATCGCGCCTCGGCGGCAAGCCGCCTCGGCATTAAGAATGCGCATCTAAATTTTTATATGTCCTTCTTTCTTTTATTTTTCCCTTCCCTTTCTTTTCTTTTTCTTTTTTTTCCCTCCTCTTGCTCTCATTTACCTTTTTTTCCTTTTCTCATCATTTTTCAAAATTTTAAATTTTTATCAAAAATCTTGCCTATAAAAGCAGACTATGGAACCTTTTAATGCCTCTTAATCAATATTATACAGCATAAAGCATATTAAATGAAAGTAATTACGTATAAATTTATTTTATTATCTTATTTATTAATTCTTTAGCATGTATTGTTTAATATTAACTTTTCTGTACATTAAATATGATATCTCCAAAGTATGAATGCCTTGTAACGAAACAAAAACTTAATTTTATGTTGAATATTTGTCACAAACATTAGATTATTAAAATATATGTTGGATATCCCTTAGTATGAGACTTCATGACTCTTGTAGTCTAACGTGAGCTTTGGATTGCAAGCTCTGTGGTTAACGAACATAAATTAATTGTAAAGTTTTCAAAATTTTTCATCGTTTCTATCAGCATCTATTTTTCCTTTAAAATAATATATTTGTATGAATACAATATTTAGTAATTTTTTTATTTCCCATAATTTCATTCAAAATTTCAGAAAAAATTAATTTCTATTCAATATTATTTCAGCTTCAAAACACTTCATTCTTATAGATGTTGATTCACTAATGTGTGATACTCAATGTCTTATTTCAATGAAAATTGTTCTGCAAATTTATTTCACTTTTGACCTCACTTTTTCCGTAATTCAATTTTTTACTTTTAATATTTTAGATCTTCATAATATCATTTGAAAAATTAACCATATAAAAAAATCAAGTTAACAATTCACTTTTTCCGTAATTCAAAAATCAAAAATATAAATAATATATCTTTTTATCAAATATTATTATTATATTCTATGAAAAATGAGGTCCGGAAATTTTGCGGATTCCCGTAACTCAATTTTACGGAAAAAGTGCAGTAAACTATTCAAAATACGGAAAAATTGGTGTAAACTAATGATTTTACGGTAAAATCACGGAAAGTCCCGGAAGAATATATGTGCCTATATGAAATTATACAAAAATGAATCAAACGCATTTTAAAAGATTGTTCTTGTATTATAAATGCTATTCGCAGATTTATTAGTTGAAGAAAATTACCAAATTTTTGCCGATTTACAAAAAATGATTTACAAAGCATATTTTTATAAGGCTTTAAAAATCTTTAAAATGTGACCGGTGACGGAAATCCATGGTAACCAACCGCGGTTCCCGTTTGGAATGCCATAGGATCCAGCATCCAACACGCAACAACAAAACACAAAACACACTTTTTGGTTCTTTCATCGTTTTAATCGTAATTTATGTAATACATGATTTGGATAAATTTTACAAAAATAGAACCTATATTATATTCTTTTCAAAGATTCTTGCAAATCATCAAAAATAATTGTATTTTAAAAAACGATCAAATTATCCTTTCATTATTTTAAACTTAAATTAGTTTTTATGATTGACTAAAGCAATCATATTTATTCATCATTAAATAAACAAAAAATAATATTTGAGAGTTATTTCAAAAAAAACACATTGAATTTATTAATTTGTCTCAATTTCAGTATTATAAATTTTTATAATTTCAATATTTTGAAATACACTTTTTAATATTTCAATATTTATGATATTTCAATGTATTAAGTGGTCTCAAATTGAGCTTCTCAAATATAAGGTGGCCTATTCAAATAATAAAATTAAATAATATTTAAAATAATAAATAAAAGTGATTGAGGTCATAGCAAAACGGCTGTTTCAGTCATTAATTCTTAAAAATAAAAAGGGTAAAAACTAAATAAAATGGGTAAAATTCAATAGTGTCTGTGCTATTGTTCAATTTGAAGGTGTCTTTTGAAACCGCAAGACACATTGAATTTTTGAATAGTGTATTATGGTTTGACAGACACCAATGAAAAAAATAAAATGATATTTATTTTAAATATATAAGATCCTTATATAAAATATAAATATTTTATCGTTTTATTTTCTTGTTTTAGAAATGTTTTTTATTGAAAAATCAATAAAACTAACTCCAAAATAAAATTTTTGATTTAAAGACACTATGATGACACCAGGCAAATCTTCCAAGACACCTATCGTCGGGAATTTGACCTTATTGCTGCATAATGAAGGGCAGTTATTCCTTCATCATCTTTTTCATTGAAATTTGCACCTTGTGAGATTAGGAGTTTTGTTGTTTCTTTACTATTTTTAATTGCTGCATAATGAAGAGCAGTTTTTCCTTTCTCATCTTTTTCATTGATATTTGCACCATGAGATATAAGAATTTTGGCTGTTTCTTGACTATTTTTAATTGCTGCATAATGAAGAGCAGTTCTTCCTTCATCATCTTTTTCATTGATATTTGCACCATGAGATATAAGAATTTTGGCTGTATCTTTACTATTTTTAATTGCTGCATAATGAAGAGCAGTTTTTCCTTTCTCAGCTTTTTCATTGATATTTGCACCATGAGATATAAGAAATTTGGCTGTTTCTTGACTATTATTAATTGCTGCATAATGAAGGGCAGTTATTCCTTCCTCAGCTTTTTTCTCGATAGTTTCACTATGTAAGTTATTATTATTAGCTTCAAAAACAAAAAGAGCTGTTCTTACATTTATGTTTGCACCATTTGAGAGGAAAATTTCCCACAGGAATGGAATATTAAACATCGTTGAAAAAGCAAAACATTCGTTAATATCATTAGTTTGAACATAATAAACAAAAAATGATTCAAGATTATTATATTTTCCACAACAATATAAATTAATATGTAAATTGTGCTCGTGCATCAAGAATGAAACCAAATTAATGTTATGTGAAATAATAGCATATTCCATGCATTTATCATCTGGTTTTTTATTTTTTAAACATTCACTCATGATCTCTATGCTTCTTCCTAAAAATGAAAATTGAAGACAAGTTTGAGTTATTTCTTTGTCAAATTCTGTTCTTAAAAACTTGAAACAATCAACTGCCCCATGGTAACAGCATAATTCAAGTAACGAATATCCATTTACATCAAATGGATATAAATCACTAACAAGTGTTTGATATTCATCAAAATCATCTCTTACCGTAAATGAGATAAATGTTTCTAAGTCATTATTCATAATTGCTCTGTAAATTGTATTTTTTGTATGAATATCGAGATTTTCTGATTTAATTGTTTCGAAATCATCAGATTTGCCTAATTTAATCCCATATTCTTCATAAAACAGGTAGTCCGAAATTAGTCTAGCATTGTCGACCTTCTTGACATTATATTTATCAGATATAAGTTTGGCAAGAGATAAGTATGACTTTGTATAGCGATTATTATACGGAATGATATTCAAAATATCTACAAGTATTTTTTTGGGAGGATATTTCTTTAAATCAATCAATTCTGTGATCATTTTGTAAATCTTGTCCAATTCTTCTTCGTTTTCCGTTTTCAACTGATACAATGCAATGAATAAATCTATGTAGTGTTTGTAGTCATTTCGCAATTCACTGTAATCAATTAGGTAAATATCTTGCTCAGACATTAGAAAATTTAAAAAATAAAAACTCCATCAGACATGGAAAAAATTTTATGGACCCACTCAGAAAAATTGAGAGGCAAAATGAGATTCATCGTTTTATACTCATCTGATTGATATTATTCAATTATATCCGGTATATTCATATTTTTATATGGCACTTTGGCTCACTATTATTTCAAATTAAGTAAAATTACTGAAATCTCCGATGGAAAATTCTATAAAAAGCTAATAAATAGGCATGCATCCGCAATTTTATGTATTTTCCAATGCGTATAATTGTGGTGAACGAGACTGAGATTTAACTAACAATCGTGTATTGAAAAAGTTTGATATATTAATAATTAAACATATATTATGTTACCACATCCCGTTTATAGATAAAGCTTTATATCTATCTAAGATCAATGAACAGCTTCCAACTAAGTGTACGTGTTGAAGATATAAATTGGAGTTTAAGAAGGCCATGCTTGCTTTTCTGGAATGTTGATCACTAATTCTCTGGTCAAATATGTATTAAGATTAGTATATTTGTAAATGAATTCAATATCTCTAACAAAATTAAAATGGGACTAAAAAGAATACGTTTTAAGTACTAAAAAGTCTATTTATAAACAATATTATAAGAATAAGTATTAGCAAATTCCCGTACAAACAAAAATTTGTAAAAAAAAATTGAAAAATTTGGAAAATAGAATTACAATTCATATTTGACGTCACCAGTAATGTGAATACGGTCATCTGGAGTTGGATTCTTGATCTTTGTTGCCTCTTTATAAAGCTCGGCCACATTATCTACTAATTTTTGTAATTCGTACCATTTCAAAGCAGGATCATCCATTGGACCGAGTCTTTTCTGTATGTCCTGTTTTTCTTTCAGCCATATTTTTGTTTCTGCCATCATTCTTAGGACATTTCGGATATCAGCTCTCATTACGTGTTTCATTCATTTGTTTTGAGGGATATTACGTATACCTTGTTCAATTGATTCAAATACTTGATTCATATAATCAATTGTCGAATTAACTTTTGTAAAATACTGAATTCTTGACATAACAGCTCCAACAGCGTCCAAAAGTAAATTTTTACGCTGTCGTAAAGTATCCAACATGAAACTCTTTTGTTTCAAGAACCATCTGTCAGTTGTATTGACAGCAACAATGATTCTTTTTAATTCTTCCTGGGAACAGACCAAATTGATGTATTCCAACTGTCGTGTCATTGATTTTAGGTCTAATATGATGCCTTCAAGGCTATTCGCTTCTTCAGAAATCATTCTTTGGTCAAATTCGTATTTATCTAAAAGTTTCAACTGTTCAATGAACTTTATCTCCCAAATATCATATACTCTCTTCGAGTTCTGCTTGATTCTGTACAATCCATCCTTAGTTTGCTTGAAAATTGTTGTATTATGCACAGTTCCCCACGCAGCGACGCCGGAAGAGCCTGCAGGGTATCTGGGGCCAACTTCCATTAGATATGTTTGTGTCCCTGTCACGTTTGGAGTTGTTCGTCTTTGTAATGCGTCGTAATACTGGAAATTGTAGAGTTGGTATGGATTGTAATGGATTGTGTTGATGGTCTTGAACTCAGAGCTTTGTACGGCACCGTATAATGCTGCTCCATATGATATTGACTCTTCAGGATTCATTGAAACACTTAATTCTTTTTGTTTGAGGGCTTTCTTGATTACTTCTTGGATACAAAGCACGCGCGATGATCCTCCTATTAATTGGACTCTATCTACATGAGGAACATTCGAAAGAAGTGAATATAATTCTTCAAGAATATTTTTTACAGAATTTTCAAATTCTGATCGAGAAATGTTGTAGTAGAATGTCTCAGAACCATCAACTTGACCGACTGCATTGACATTTGTTGTCAATCTGTGCTTAATTCGGTTTGCTTCTGCTATTAACAGTTGTTTGTCTGTTTTGGTTGGTGGATATGATATCTTACTCTTCATTAGTTTGTATATTGCAATATCTAGTAGTCTTCCACCTATATTTTGCGAATAATTATAAAAAATTTCGCTAATTGTAATATTACGCTTTCCTGAAAACTGGGATACAGTCACTTGTGTATTTAGATCACCAATATCGACAAATGCAACTGTTAATGGCTTTTCTAGTTTGGAAAATTTTTTATCATGAGTAAAAGCGAAATCATAGCCTAAGGCTGTACTCGAATCAATAATTCTTGAAGTATAATTAGCAAGTTTGGCTGCTATTCTAACTGATTTTCTTTCTGTTGCATCATAAATTTTGGAACAGCGATATAAGCTGTTTTTGCGACCAATGGTGGTTCGAGGGCTCTGGCTGTTGAGTTGATGATGTTAAATGTTCTGTAAAGTAAGTATTCTGGATAAATTCCATTAGTTGTAAATCTAAAATTTGAAGTTGGAACAAATTCTGATTCAATCTTTCGTTGTTTTGCGATGTCTTTCATTTCGTCTGTCAATATTTTGCCTACGAAATCATTATAATATCGAGTTGTATGTTGAGGAAATTTTTTCTCCATTTGTTGATTATCGAAATAATATGCATTGTTTCCGAAGTTGTAAGCATCAATGAGCTTTATAGGACCTTTCTCATTAGGAACCACTGTAAATGTCGATCTGAAATATCGATTTGAGCTGTTATCAAGCAAAATTGACATCTGAGTAGGAGATCTTAATGCAGCTACTCGAATCTTTTCACTTCCAAGGTCCATCCCTAAAACGACAGAAAGTGAGAACGCTAAAAGGCAAAAAATCATTTTTTCAAAACTGGCAAACGATAATTTTTAATTCAATTTTTCAAAAGATGTGGGTGAAATAAAGTTTGTGATTGTTATGTTTATTACAAAAATTTACTAAAATAATTTTGATAAGTGTAAGGCATCTAAATTTTTTCCAATTCTAAACGGATACAAAAATAAATCGAGCAAAAATACAATAATTAAAGTATTTATTGGACATTTTTAGATATATGGCCTATAATTGAAACATCATCATCCTCAGAACTATCAATATTATCTATTTCATTCGAATATACTATATTTTCTCCTTTAACTGATCCGCTGAAGTCAACTTTATTCAAAGCTATACAAGGTGGATCTCCTGGGCATGGGGCGTTTTGATAAATTCTAAAATATTTAGCTTCTGCTGGTTTGGAAAATTAAAAAGTCTTTTCCTTACCATTTTTAAAACTTTCATCATTATCAACTCTGTGAACTTCTGTCCAAGTTTTATTATCATCTGATATTTGCAAGGACCATGAATAAAGACAGCACCTACAACAAAAATAAAGTTTATCTTCGCAGCAACACCTTAAGTTGCTTCCAGCACATCCTGTGCGAATAGTATAGCTATCAACAACCATTCTCGAATCTTTTACAGAAAACATAATCCATGGATGTTCAGAATATGATTTCATGCATGTTGAACACCAATCATAATTATTATTCCATGGCTCAACAGTAAAATACGGATCAGTTATTTTATAGGAACCATTAATTATTTGTTTCGATGATCCACATGCCTGGACTTGCAGCAGCTTTTTACTATAAAGGGTAGAAAGTATGTTGCTTGATTTATCTTTCCCCGCAAAATTCAATAAAAATAACGTTTTGTCACTTTTTTCAACAGAATGAATCATTTTGAATTTTAGAGTTTTAGATTTAATTTTTACTTCACAACATAATGGGAAAATACATTAAACAAAGCTATCTTCGCGAATTGTTTTGTTATTCATTTCGTGCGATTTGCGCGGTGATAAGTTAGTAATAAGAGCTCTCTTCGTTTCTGGATTTTGATGATCATCAATAACCCTTTCCATAATAACCCTTGAAGAACAAGCACCATTAACTCTGTATTGCTCAATAGCTGCATTATTCTTAAGCTTCAAAGCACGTTTAAGATCTTTAATTCGAAGGTCGTAGTCATTTCTCATGTCATCAAACTCTTGTTTATGGCGTATAATCATGAAATTGATTTGTTTTCTGAAGTGTTCGTCAATGGGTTTATATTCTTTGTAGTTCTTCATATTCTTTAGTTTAATAGCTTCATTTCTCTTAGCTATTGCTGTATCGTATTGATGTGCTCTAGCTAAATTCTGAGCAGTAACAAACATTTCATCGATATTTGCTTGTATTTTTTGTAATTCTTTATTTCTAGCTTCTTTCCACTCTTTAGTAACTTCTTCTAGTTCATGTTTTTGCTTTTCTTCTGCACGTTGGAACTTCTCTTGGAGTGCTAATCGTTCTAGTTCGCATTGATTTTCAAAATCCATTTCATTTTCTTGAATCTGTCTTTTCATTTCAGCGCGATTTTGTTGAATATACTTTGTCTGTTCTCGTCTGTAAAATGTTTCTCGCCTTTGTATATCTTGTTCTTGAATGATTTTTCTTGATTCATAAAGAATTTTTGCCTTTTCGAAATCAAAGGACTGGATAGCATTTTCCTCTTCAATATCAAAGCCGAAATTATCAATCATTTCAAAAAGTTCTCCCTTAGAACTCGAGTCATTGATTGATGAGTTCATTTTTGATAAACGTACGCTGTATCAAAAGATTGTACTGAAAAATTACAACTAGAAAAAGATTACTTGATAACATCTTAATAAGAGATTTAGAAAATTATAGAAAACGATTCAACATTTTTGAATCAATTCATAAATGGCAAACCCAAATTTTAGCTAAAAGTGACAGGAAAAAAAACGTTTAGTATTAAAAAAAAGACCGATGAGAGCTTCGTTCGAAATATAGAGGGAACTGAGAATGCGCAACCATTCTCAGGGAATATTGGATGCTATTCCCGTTCCCTCTGTATGGAAAATTGAGGTTTTCAAAGGGAGTTAAAATAATATCAAATTTATACTAATTTACTTCAAAATACAAAAGTATTTGACAGCTAAAATTAGTTACTTTAGCAAGCCTATCAATACCCTTTTACGATTATTGCTACTTTTTCGAAATAAAAGTAAAAACAAATTTATACTAATTTACTTCAAAATACAAAAGTATTTGACAGCTAAAATTAGTTACTTTAGCAAGCCTATCAATACCCTTTTACGATTATTGCTACTTTTTCGAAATAAAAGTAAAAACAAATTTATACTAATTTACTTCAAAATACAAAAGTATTTGACAGCTAAAATTAGTTACTTTAGCAAGCCTATCAATACCCTTTTACGATTATTGCTACTTTTTCGAAATAAAAGTAAAAACAAATTTATACTAATTTACTTCAAAATACAAAAGTATTTGACAGCTAAAATTAGTTACTTTAGCAAGCCTATCAATACCCTTTTACGATTATTGCTACTTTTCGAAATAAAATAAATTTATTATCAAAAACCTTTTTTTCTTAGTAAAAATAAAAATGTTATTATATCAAGTTTTTATTCATAAATTTTTATAATGTTGTATAAATTTGAAGGTGGAAATCTGTAATAATTTTATCTTGAAAAGACTTGGCATTCTCAACAATGAATTGAGGGGTATTGCATCCAAATTCTGTAATTTGCGTGAGAATACTAAGCTTGATTTCCATTGGGATACTTAATTTCGAAAAATACTGGGTCATTCGTTTTTGAACCTTTGCTGCCTTGACAACTTTATCAAGTAGGTCATCTAAACCCAATTGAAGCGTATTTAAGTTTGCTGATGAGTTAACTATTAACAATTTAATTTTATCAGTGAGCATTATACATTTTTCTGTATCCAGTCTGATTGTAGACTTTTTTGGCTTTTTTCAGATGGCAACGGATTTGGAATTTTGTCTCTGAGCCTTATATCTTGAGAAATTCTGTAATAAAATGAAGGAACGATAAAATCGATTAATTTCATCACAAATCGATCAAATCTCATGAAAATTGTTCCGCCAAAGTAGTAATATTTAATTTTTTTGTTAATCGATTCTGAAATGTTATTTGTGAGAGCTAAATTTTCATCTCTTTCAGCGGCTGTCCATCTTTCTTGGTTTGATATCCATTGATTTTGTATGTATTTTGAAAATTCTGGGAATTTTTCGGCTATTTCCAGAATTTTTTTGAACGTTGGTTCAATCCATTCTTTCTTGCCATTTCTGCCGTATGCAAGATAGTTCATTTTTGTATCTAATATTGTTGTAAACAGAAATTCATCAAAAGTGACACCTCAGAAAAGCTAAAATATTGAATTTTTGGAACTTTTGATAGAGCACGTTTTTAAATATTAATTAAAGTAAATGTATATTTTGTAAAGATTCTTTTTAATAAAAAATAAAATTTTGAAGAAGAACACAAAATCTTCTGAAAAATAATATCACATAAACTCATATTATTTTCTAATATATAACTATTTTATATAAAAATCAAATTCAATGATCTTAAAAGCGAATGATAAACCTCAAAATTTACGAATATAATGAGTGGAATATAATGCTTATCTATCATAAAACCATATGAAATATCAATTTTTGCTTTACGGCCTAATTTTTGACGACAATTAGCAAAAAATGTTAAATGTTAACACTCAGTCCATTGAATATGAAAAATAAAATTGACTTTTGATTAAATGTTTTTATTTATCATGCAAATTCTTCTTGCGACCAAAGATTTGAATAAAATTTCAAAAAATAAGATAGCTTAAAAATAATATACGTAGTGTTACTAATAGAATGAATAGTATATAAATTCTATTAAATGGATTTGATCCAAAAAAATATATAAAATTTGATCATAAATAAAATCGTTTTAAATTACTTCTTCATTTAAATTATAACAATTATTTTTGGTTTATATTTTTTTGGATCAAATCCATTTTAATAGAATTTATATACTATTCATCTATTAGTAAACACTACCGTATATTATTTTTTAAGCTATCTTATTTTTTGAAATTTTATTCAAATCTTTGTCGCAAGAAGAATTGCATGATAAATAAAAACATTTAATCAAAGTCAATTTTATTTTTCATATTCAAATGGACTGAGTGTTAACATTTAACATTTTTTGCTAATTGTCGTCAAAAAATTCGTAAAGCAAAAAATTGATATTTCATATGGTTTTATGATAGATAAGCATATATTCCCACTCATTATATTCGTAAATTTTGAGGTTTATCATTCGCTTTTAAGATCATTGAATTTGATTTTTATATAAAATAGTTATATATTAGAAAATAATATGAGTTTATGTGATATTATTTTTCAGAAGATTTCATTCTATATGCCTATGAAAAGTACTCTCAAAACTAACTTTTTCCTAATTATAATTAAATCTAGAATTTTATTATGCTTAGTATTATTTCATTTTTCTCATTCAATTTAGAATTTACAAATGTCAAAAAATTGAGAGCTGTCACTTTTGATGAATTTCTGTTTATTACAATCCAGATCAAGTTTTTTGTCGCATTCAATTTGAGCCATTTTCGTATCACCCCCCTGTTTTATAAAATTAATAAGTACCCGACGATAGCATTGTGATAATGTGTGGTATTTCTTTGTCTCATCTTTGATTTGATTGTGATTATGTGTTCCATTATATTCTGTTAGGATATATTCTTCATCATCCTTTAGAAATGAAATACATGCTTCACATTTATCTGCACTGCACCTGAATTTTAATTTTGTTCCCCCTAAATTTGGATTTTTTTTTAATTGATATGGACAACCTGCATGGCATTCGTTATCAATGACAGCTTTCATAGCATCTATATAAGATAGCTTTCTTTAAGTTCGCATGGTGCATCGATATGCATCAAAAAAATGAAATGAAATTTCAATATAGGGTGTCCAAAGGTGTGTTTAGCACAAACCTGAATACTGCGAATAGAAATAAACAAGTTACATATATATAAAGTTTATTTAAATATAATCACCATTGGATTCAATCACGCGTTCGCAGCGATCGATCCAGGCTTGAAAGACACGCTTTAAATCATCATGAGAAAATTGCTCAAATTGCTCTCTTACAAAATTTTCAAGATCATCTGGACTCGCGAATTCGCGTCCTTCAGCTCTCTTTTTTAGCGTGCCGAATAAATAAAAGTCAGAGGGTGCAATATCAGGTGAATAAATTGGGTTTGGAACAACTTTGACATTGTTTTCCACCAAGTAATTCATTACCTTATGACTTTTGTGAACTCTTGAATTATCAAAATGAATTGCAAACTTTTGTTTTTGTTGTTTGGATTTCTCAAACTCATCAGAATTGATAATTTGAGTAAGAACATTGTCAATTAGATAGTGAGCATTCATCGTATTAGGTTTTGAAGATATCAATTGCGATGATGCCATTCACGCCCCAAAAAACCGACAACATCATCATTGGTGTGTCAATTTTTTTCTTCGGAATGTTTGCGGATTTTCATCCTTCGGATCCACATGAATTTGGCTTCTGTTGCATATTGAAACCAAGACTCGTCCCCTGTTACTAAAAACGAAACTTCTTGGATTGATACGCCCCAAATAGAGAGGAGCTCTTTCGAAGATTGGACTCTAGATTTTTTTTGAACTGAATTAAGGTTGTGCGGAACCCACGTGTATACGCTAGTTTGTAGTTCAAATAATTTGCAGATAAATAACTGACTGTTGTACGTGGTATCTTTGTCATCTCCTCTATCCTTCTGAGTGATGCTCTTGGGTCTTCATCTAGCGCTTGAAGAATTGCTTTGATTTTTCTTTGATCCGGCGATTTTTTGTCAATTTTTATGATGGGCGCCTTTTTGTTCATGAAGTGATACATCCTAACATGATACGTTATAGTGGAATAGCTAAGAGCATCCATACCGAAGCATTTACCAATGTCTCGTAGATTTTTTTACAGTCTTTGCATTTTTTTGCAAGAGCGAGGATGTTTTCTTTATGATTCATTAAAAAAATGAAAAAAATCCCCGCCAAAATTTCCCGCGAAACCGCCTCTTGTCTCAAAATTCATTTTATATCCCGGCATGGCGCCAAAATACAACATACTCATCATATACATATATTCATATTTTTTATTATATATTTATAATCAGCATATATCTCCTTTAATAGTCTCATATAGAGCGCTGTGCTAAACGCACCTTTGGACACCCTATATCAAAAAAAGCACAAAATTTGAAAAAATTCACAAATCTCGGTTTCTGAAAGAAAATGGCCTCTTAAACTTTGTGCATATATTCATCTATAAGACACATTGTATCCATATATTATTTAGCCAACACAACTTATCTGGTATCGAGAAAATTCAAAAAAAGCACAAAATTTGAAAATTGCTCGGTTCTACATTCAAAATAAATTTCATTAATTTTTACGTACATATTAAGGTACTTAAAAAAAAAAAAAAAAAAGGCATTGGGGGTTCCAGGGCTGCGCCCCTCTACCCCCTTGAAGATGTTTAGTATGCAATGAAGTATAAAATGAGGTTTTTTTGGGTGTGTGGGGGCTTCCAGGCACTTCGTGCCTTCTAGCCCCTAAAATTTTTTGAAAGTCGTTGCTGTTGACTTGTTTGTAGAGAACTCAAAATAGTAGAACTATGTCCGGACAAGTAAGAGTCTATCGTCGCTACAGAAAAGT